TTGTATTATGTACTATCTGACATTGTATGTTCAGAGGCATCTACCAAGGTGCCTGATGTAGCTGAGACTACGTGAGCGATACATGATCTGTAGGAAGTAGTAGTGAGGAGGTGAGTTCAAGGTGCTTCTCAGGTGGGTGAGTTCAAAGGGATCTGAGGGGGTCATCTGGTTCAATCCTACAAACAAATTTAGGGTTCACTGTTCCTAAACCACCTAAGAGAATTATCTTTCCAGTTGTCCTTTGGAATATCTTCAAGGAGGGTGATTCCACAACTTCTCACGACAGTTTTTTCCATTGTTTAGCTATTCTTATAACTAGGAAGTTTATCCAGGAATCTAAATATGTTATGCTTTGCTGAATTTTAAACCCTTTGCCTCATGTGGCAAGAAAAAGCAATGCTGCTTCATTCTCTTCATGATAACTTTCAAATACTTGAAAATTGTTACTCCCTCTCATTAATCTCCTTGTCCCCAAACTAAATACACTTAGTTCTTCTAATCTTGTTCCCTATGGTTTGCATTACATTCCCTTTATCACCTTGCTCATTTGTTTCTCAACTCTCTCCAGTTTATTTTTATCTTTAAAATGTGATGCTGAAAATGAGGTACAATATTCCAGTTGATGCCTAACTAGTGCAAGAGCATCTGATTACTTACTCAGTTTGTGATCTGCCATAACCCCATATGGTGGGTTGCAATCCCAGTCATCACTCATCCTATATCTGTGCATTTGCTTTTCTTCCCTACATGTGGCCTATATATTTGCCTCTGCTGTTTTAAATTTTATTGGCTGCATCATAGTTTAACCTGGTTCTGAAATTAATACCACATTGTTTAGCTGACTAAGGGACTTGTAAACTGTTTTGTGGTCCCATTTGTTAATTTTAATGACATAATATTTCAAGACGCTATCTCCATAATCCTCCATTCAACAAATCCTTTACTTCACATCATCTTCAGAACTATACTAATACTGGTCCATTTGACTCACAACTTTCTAATCTATAGACTTCCATTTTAAATAAATTAATTTAGGAAAAATACTGGTTTAATAATGAAAAGATGTATATGTATACACACACACTGGAATATGTGCACACTCACATGAACACCCCAGGAAAAACAAAGTAATTTATTTAGCATAGACTATCCATTTATTCTCTGTAGACTTGTAAAGATATTTTATAGAAATGTTGGATCTATCCGTAATAAAAATATTATTGTTACACTTTCCTATTAGCCTTGCAGTTGTAGTTGGTATATTGGGTTTCCTGCTTTTCTACATGATTAACTACAGTACTGCTATTTGCTTCTATAATTGGTTCACTTATCTTTGTGATTTCCCACCGTTTGAATGATTTGCCTTCTCCCTTGTGTTTTTACTTGCTGAATCCCCGCTGTTGCCGTACAAGAAGTTTGTTCCTGCTTTGCCATTCTCACTTACTCTCTGCTCAGCTGGTGGAAAAAAAGAGTTCTCTGTTCTGAATGAACATTTTCTCATTGTTAAATGGCCACCCGTGCTTTCAGTACATAGGTCTTTTGTTGATACTCTTAATGGACTTCACGTAGACCTACGTAATGCTGCCTCATGACAGATGGGTCTTATATAAAGTGACTATGTTAATACTTGAAAAAGCTTTTTCTTTTCTTTAATGCTAATGTTGGAGATTTAAGGGGACTTGGTTTTCTGTAAGGCTGCTTGGCTTTTTTAGTCATATGAAAGCAATACAATTAGCATATTATATCTTGTTTCCTTTGGAAATCCTTCTGACATTACTGCTGACAGTACAGTGTACCATATTTCATAGATTTCATAGACATTTGGGTTGGAAGGGACCCCGGAGGATCATCGAGTCCAGCCCCCCGCCCCAGGGGCAGGAAGTAAGCAGAGATCATAGGATCCCAATAAGATAACCATCCAAATGTGTTTCAAAGGCGTTCAAAGTGGGCTCTTGAACCGCCTCAGGTGGCAGTCTGTTCCAAACCTTGGGGGCTTGGACAGTGAAGAAGTTGTTTCTTATGTCCAGCCTGAACCGGTCACAGTGGAGTTTGTGACCATTCGATCTTTTCATCCCTTGGGGGGCTCTGGTGAACAGTCGTTCCCCCAGATCCTGATTAGCACCCCTAATAAGCTTATAGGTGGCCACCAGATCACCCCTGAGCCTGTGCTTTTCAAGGCTGAATAGCCCCATTGCTCTCAACCTCTCATCATATGGTCTGTTTTCCTGCCCTCTGATCATGTGCGTGGCTCTCCTCTGCACCATCTCAAGCTTCTCCACATCCTATTTGAATTGCAGAGCCCAAAACTGGATGCAGTGCTCCAGCTGTGGCCTCACCAAGGCTGAGTATAAGGGGAGAATGCTGTCCCGGGATCTGCTTGAAAAGCATCTATGGATGCAAGCCAGTGTTTTGCTCACTTTACTAGCCACAGCATCGCACTGATGGCTCATGTTCTTCTTGTGGTCAACCATGACCCCCAAGTCCCTTTCATCTGCAGAGCTAACCAGCGTAGCACTACTGAGCCTATATGCATGGTGCAGGTTTTTCCTCCCAAGGTGGAGAACCTTGCATTTTTTGGTGTTGAACACCATCAGGTTCTCGTCCACCCATTTCATGAGTCTGTCCAGATCTGCCTGGATCACCCTCCTGTCCTCAGGTGTGGATGCATTACCCCAGAGTTTGGTGTCATCGGCGAACTTGCCCAGTCCGCTTCTGACACCAGTGTCCACATCATTGATGTAGATGTTAAACAGTGTAGGCCCTAGGACAGAGCCTTGTGGGACTCCACTGGTCACAGCACACCAAGACGATTGGCTCCCATCGACCACCACCCTCTGGGTTCTACCGCAGAGGATATTGCCTTCAGCTAGCCTGTTAAGGATGGCCTCCTTGATAATCTTTTCCAAGACTTTCCCCAGGATAGAGGTCAGGCTAATGGGCCTGTAGTTTGCTGGATCTACTTTCATTGCATAAACCAGTTTGACCCAAATCAGTTAAGTCTGGTACTACTTTCAACCAGGTTTATCTCAGACCGGTCTCGACCATTTTCAAACTGGTTTGTGTGCACTGAATGTCTATTCTGTTACAGGTTTAAACCAGTTTCTGAAAACTTAAACTGGTTTATGTGTATTGTCTGTCACTAGCCTAAAAGAGCAATATTTGCCAGTAGTTCTCAAATATTTAGCACTTTCCTGCTTTAATGAGGAAATATTGAGATATGTTAGATATTATCACCTGGCAATAGTCAACAAATGCTGGGGTTTTTAAATTTTAAGTTATTTTCATAGATGCCCATCTATCATTTCTCCTTTTTGGCAAGGCCTTGTCAGTTTGAAGAATAGTTGTTGTTTTTTTTAGTGAACAGTAAATGGTGCACGAAGATACTAACTTTTACATTAACAAAGAGGTGGCTAGACAAATGCCTAATGAGTTGATCAAAACACTGAACCTGAACCAATATTCACCTACAGGGTTTGGTAGAATTGTATATAGGAGTACCTTACTTTTGCCTTTTCTTCTCCTTTTTCCTTATTGCATTATAATGGTTCCACATATTAAGTCTTCTCAGAATTCCAACTAAAGAAATCAATCTCTAGGCAAAGTGGTTTTCATCAGAGGAGTTTCTTTCATTTTGGTTTTTGTGTTGTTTTTCCCCAAGAGTCTTTTTCATTTTATCAAAGCTTTTTGGATATGCAGTCCTGAACATATATCTCCTTTCAGTGCTATATGTTACTGAAATACCTTAATACCACAATGCCACTTTCACATACTCCTGAATTCAGAAATATGTTCCTATATAAACAAAGTATTTTTCTCTTCTTTTTTTTTTATCCTCATCTTCCAGCTTGTTTGGCATCAGTCACCAACTCCACTAGTTTATTTGCTTCATAGGACTTAAATATTTCTAAAAAAATGAATTCTCTAACCTAAGGCTCATGCAAATGTTTGTATTTGTTGTGTAATTTTTAGAGCAGTGATGATGTAATTCAGAGTCTCCAAGGCCACTTGTCATCAGTGACATGTTTAATACTAGATTTGTTTATAGGTGATTTTTTTTTTAATATTGACATAAAAGAAAAACATATGAGGTTGCAAATGAGGCACTCACAAGCTATGTAATCTAGAATGCCAGAACTAAAGCATTTAATTTTGTAATTATGCTGTTGTATAAAAAAGGAAGGATTAAGAGTGGCTTCAAGGACTGGTGTATGTAAAAATTAGATGGGTGTGACAGATGAACCAGGGAAGCACAAAACCAGGTCAACAAGGGAGGCCTAGGGAAAAGAGAAGTGAAGAGGTTCTTCAGTGGGGAAGGGAAATGGAAGAAGGCTGAAAAATCAAGCTTGCCGAAAGCTAAGAAGTGGTTGAGGAGATGTCTTTAACCCGCCCCCCAACCATGCTCTTTCAGTTCAAGCCACTACAGGAGGTACAGCAGTTGCTAGTGTATGTGACAAAATGATTTGCGCTGCTTCTGCTGTAAACACAACATCCCTGTGAATAGGTTTAGTATCTTGGCAGAATTGCCCACATGAATATTTCAGCAAACTGAGTACAACTCAGTAGTCTGTCAATGGGAAGTACTGCTTTTACTAAAATAAAGGGTGAAACACTAAGCATGTTTCATTCCAGTATGGATGGAACTTGTGTTTTTTTTAAACTCCGGGCAATTTTCTTGTCTTTGGGGTGGAGGTAGGGGAATATCCTCACAGCTATGTGGGATTTTGTAGGGGGGCTCCCTCCTCCCCCCTCCCTTCAGACTGTTCTAATATCTTTGTTTTCTTACTTTTTAATCCTAGGTTTCTGTGCTGGAGAGGCAGATATTTGATTTCCTTGGTTATCAGTGGGCACCAATCCTGGCAAATTTTGTGCACATTATTATAGTCATACTTGGCTTATTTGGAACCATCCAGTATAGACCCCGCTACATAACAGGAGTGAGTATCATTTGTATTTTCTTTCCAGAGCAGGATAGAGATGGGAATGCAAATGGTATGATAAAAATGGGAAATTAGTCTGCCCTTTTTCTTGGGAATTAAATATACATTTCACCCTTGTTTAACTTGCATTTGTCTTTATTTTACAACCTGTTACTACACTGTTATGTGACACCTGCCATGATTAAAGCTGCTGAAAGTGACAGCAGCTGAAAAATCAATATAATGACACAGTATGAAAATATTCATAAGGCGTGAAACTTAATTAAAAGCGTTTGTAAAGAAGTGTGGGATCCCTGAAGGAGAGACATACAGCAACTAAAAATATTGTACCTCCACCCAGCCTAAACGTGCTGGACTGTACTTATTCATTTGTTATTAAAGTTGTTAATTATGTGGTGTTAACTGATGTTTAGAATACCAAAAATATGCCTACCCATTATGAATAAGTCTGTCTCTTCCCCCAAGGAGATTAAAAATAGGATATGACACCTGGGCATTACAGAACAAGAAGTTATTCTGTTGAATGAGTCTTGATCACATCTTTTCATCATATCTGTCTTTTCTTTGACCTGCCTGAATACCTAGGGAATGACCTTCTGAGGTCCCTTCCAACCCTAATTTTCTATGATTCTAAGTTCTGCTGTGTACTCTAACAATACAAAAAAGAAAAAATCTTACATTTTACTCAGACTCTGCTTTTTTAAAAAACAAAAAACAAAATCATCTTCAGAAATTGTGTTAACATCATAATGGAGATTTTCCACAGGCCTGAAGATAAGAAATAACTAAATTGCTGTTTCATTATCAAGAGATTTGGAGAGGTCATACATACGTTGTTTGTAATGATTCAAGTTGGACTCTGGGGTTTTGTCAGAAATTTGCATTGGGTTAATGTATTGTTATGCTGCCCTTTGATAAGCCCCAGAATAAGTCTGTGGCTGCCCAAAAGACATTCTCGCTCCTGATTCTCTTGCTGCTGCAGAACGGAAGGGTTATAGCTGCCGTCAGCCTATATCCAGGTCTGCAGGGCTCACAGCCACAACTTCCACACTGCTCTCTCTCTAATGGTCATACAGATAACCTGTCTGAAAACATATGAAGCCATTTCATACCCCTGAGCTGTAGTTCTGTCAAATGATCATAAAAGTAATGTATGCATGTATGTTAATGTGTAAATGTATTTTCCATATATGGAGAAAAAGTGGGTGGACATGCAATGTGTATACACTTGCACAGAATTACATTGTGTAGAATATACATTGACAACTCTTACAGTTTTATTTAAATTCTTGTGATATATGGAATTTTCCTGCAAATCCCATATCCAGCTTGAAGATTCTTTTTTGCTTTTTTAAATATTTTTTGGTAAAAATTCAGTTTCTGATTTTTATGTTGGGGTGGGATACACCTCAAAAATGACAAAAGTACAGCCTAAGTGCAAGCTAAGGAAACATCAGGCAACTAAAAATAATCTAATATTTATTATTTTGAAACTAAATAACATCTGAAAAGAACCCTATTTAAAAATAAATACACATTTTGCATGCTTGAGAAATTAGAACTGGCCAAATGAATTTAAATGTTTTTAAATAAATTCCTTTGGGGAAGAAGCTGCTTGCTTAATATATATAAAATATATTTTTAATGAAAAAAAGACAGGAAACAAACTATTTTTAAGAAATAGGACCAGACAAATCACAAGTACATCTTACATCATAATGAACTGTAGGAGACAAGGATTTCTTAGGGTGACTTTTTTTTATTGGACTATGTAGTTGGGATAAAGTTAGACATTTTCCAATGCAAGACATTTTTGTCATGGCTCTGATCAGGGGAAGCTAGGTACAGCGTAGTGGAAAAATAGAGGGGAGGGACTGAAAGAGGTTCTCAGAGACAGCATTCATACAAGAAAAGAAGATGATAACTAACCCTCTTCCTTTTGATAGGTATTCTCACCTTTCTTCCCCCTGTTGTGTGGAAAGAATTCAGGAATTGTGTAAAATATAATTGCCACAAACCTGGTATTGGTGTTTAGTCCTTGGTTCTTAATGTCCAGCCATCTTATGGATTTTTGTTTCCAAGTTTGCCTTTTAAAGGTGTTAAGTAGATTTTCCTGGAGTATGAGGATAGTGAGGTCAGAGGGGGTTGTTCCGTGAGAAATGCGCTCCTAATGGTGTGTATATGTCTCCATCTTCTACGTTTTGTTCTGTGGGTTTATCCTGGTGCATAGTTGCTGGTGCTGTTTAGTTTCACCCACAGAGTTGCCATCAGGGCACCTGGTGCATTGGATCAGGTATATCACATTTGGGGAAAGACACGTATAGGAACCATGGATTCTGAATTTTTGATGGGGGGGGGGGGGGGGGGGTTCATAGTAGGTTGATAGATACCACATTAAATTCTTGCCTTTGGCATAATTTCTAGACCATCACAGCTACCACACCACGCTTACACTATCAGAATGAATTAGAATTTTAAACTTATAAGTAGTCTTCAGTCTATTCCCATGAACAGCCTGAAGTCCTCAATTTGTGCCATTTATACGAATCCATCCTTTTCATATTTTCATATGCCCTCACCAGTTAGTCCAAAGAAGTGTTGTAATCTATCTTCTGTTCATCTTCTAGCTGGATTGGGCTCCTAATATAGAGGAGTTTTGTGGATATTCTTCATATCTTCCAGAAAGAATTTGAAGCTGCTACCTCTCCACTTGCAGAGGAGCTGGATAGAAAGCAGCTTTATCCCAATGGACAGCTACTGAAAGAAACCTTTCCTCTGTTACTGCAGAGGCTGTGTAATAAACGTGTGTATTTTAACCAGTAGCTAATTATAAGGGATATCCCAGCTACACCAGTTGCTAGGTGACCATGAAATGAAGCTTCACTTGCCCTCCATTGAGTCAGTCAACTTTAATGTGCAGCAAGTGTTTCAATTCTGCTATTTCAGTCTTTTTGGAGTATATCTGACACTGGGGGACAATGGAGTCTTGCCTCGCATGGATATAGTGGATTTATACCATGTGTTTTAGTATCAAAGCTAGAATATGGAGGAAAGTGAGTATTTGAAACCAGGAAGTGAGCAACCAGGAAAAGGGAAGGG